TGTGTGTGTGTGTGTGTGTGTGTGTGTGTGTGTGTGTGTGTGTGTGTGTGTGTCCCGGGGGTGCACACATACATAGATAGACATGCCAACACTTATCACTCCTCATGAAGAGCGGAGCATCAACATGCAGGGTGATGGGTCACTTATTCATTGACATCAGGTCTTAAACCCTAATTTCACCCCAYACCACATTCTCCTCTTTCTTGTGTAATCTAAATTTATATTTATTTTTCAGGTTTTTTTTAATTTAAGAACCTGTAGCTCCAAACACCTTCTAAATATTAACAACTAATAAACTCACTGCAGTCGAGATGACACTCATGATGTCTAATCAACATCATAATTTCATCAACAAAATGTTGATATCTTTTTTTCTTTTGAACTTTTCAAAAAATGCTTTTTGCCCGTGTTCATGTGTGTGTCAGTCTGCGTTTGTGTGCAATCAGAGGAGAGGCAGATGAAGAGGCGTCAGACATATTAACTGACAGATGGAGGTTGATCCAACTCATTTATTACCCCAGAGGAGAATGCCACAGTGAGATTGGGCTTCATTAATTTCAGATTTAGTTTTCATTTCAAGCTGTTGTGCCCTGAGATAAATAAAATGGTGCATTATGTTTTTGCCAAGATATTTCTTTTTTGTTTTCCTCCAATAGAAGGAGTGAAAAGAAGGGAGGCATAAGTTCCATGTGGCTGGGGTAGTATATAAATACAGGCTCGCCTAGAGGAAAATAACACCTCAACGGTTGATGAGGTGAAATGGGATGACTGTAATTTCTCAGCTCAGCTTTAAAGGCTCCCACACAGATGGCTCATTTATCCCTGGGAGTCCTCGGGCACACATTGAAGGGAAACTTTTTCTCCAGTTATTCTAACATAGCATGTACTCTCCTTGCAATTTAACTCATCTCTTTCCGTCTTTCTTTGTCTCCACTCTCCTTGCAGCTTATTCTCCCGAGGAGCTGACCGAGCACCCTGTGGAGGAAGCAGAAACAGGAGAGCGACCCTCGGCACCTCAGGACGACCTTCTCGCCAAGGAGGGGTTTGTGGCGCAAAGCGTCGAGACTGCCAAGGAGCAGTCATGTGACCAGGAATCAGCTGACGCCACTGAGCTCTCAGGACAAGAGATGGACAGCGAGTCACACGTGAGCGAGTCCAGTGATCGTCTCTCAGACTTCGAGAGCCCCTGTAGGAAAGCCGAGGCCACGGCATCTCAGAGTTCAGACGCCAAGACACCGCCCATATGCTCGGACACCTTAGAGCAAATGAAGGCTATCTACTCCAGTTTCCTGACCAGCCCTTTGTGGTCGCCGCTGAACTTGAATTCCACACCACTACAGGTGCAGTCCTCGGCCTCAGCGGAGAAGCAAACACGCAGCAACAGCACTAGCAGCAGCAGTAGCTGCAGCAGCGGCAGTTATGACTGGCATCAGTCCGCAGTGGCAAAGACACTGCAGCAGCATCCTCCTCAGWGTCGTCACCCTGCTCCGTCTGAGCCCAGCCTCTTCAGCACGGTCCAACTCCACAGGCAAAACCCTAAGCTGTTTGGCTCCATCTTCACTGGCGCCAGTAAATTCCGTTGTAAGGGATGTAGTGCTGCTTACGACACCCTGGTGGAACTGACAGTCCACATGAATGATACTGGCCACTACCGTGATGACAACCAGGACAAGACGGGCAGTGGTTCTAAGCGCTGGTCTAAACCACGTAAGCGGTCCCTGATGGAAATGGAGGGGAAAGAGGAYGCCCAGAAAGTTTTGAAGTGCATGTACTGTGGCCACTCCTTTGAATCCCTTCAAGATCTCAGTGTCCACATGATTAAAACCAAACACTACCAAAAAGTGCCTCTGAAGGAGCCCATGGCCCCCGTGGCAGCCAAAATCATGTCCTCTAAGAAAAGGGGGCTTGTGGGTTTGGACCTCACATCTGCACAACGCTCCAGAGAAGGAACCCCCAAAGCAAAAGTAGAACTGAAYGAACCCTCGCAGAAACCTTCCTCCAGTCTCTACAGCACCCCCAATAACCGATACAGCCACCAGAATGGTGCTAGCTACACTTGGCAGTTTGAGTCCAACAAGCTCCAGATCCTCAAGTGTATGGAGTGTGGTAGTTCCTATAATACACTCCAGGAGTTAAGAACCCACATGATGGTGACRGGACACTTCCTGAGGGTGACCAGCGCTGTAGGTAAAAAAATCAAAACACTTCCTGAGGCCACCTCACCTAATCCAGGAAGGGTCACYACACCTACTGACCAGAGAGTCCAGTCTGTTCCACTTGCACCCTCCAACTTTTCTCCTTCCCCTCTTCAAACCACAACGCCCCCCGCCACCTCCCCTCCTCTAAAAGAAATCAAGAAAGAAGAGGTTGAGGAGGAGTGCACCCGGCAAGAGACTGTTGAAAATAAAAAAGAAGTCACAGCAACAGTTGGTAAGGAGGAGGATGTTGAGAGGGAAGAAAAATATGACATTTCAAAGTATAATTATCTTACAGAGGAGGACCTGAAAGAGAGTCCTAAAGGGGGGCTAGATATCCTCAAATCACTGGAAAATACTGTGACATCAGCTATCAACAAGGCACAGAGTGGGAATCCAAGCTGGGGGGGCTACCCCAGTATTCATGCAGCCTACCAGTTCCCAAGTGCTCTCAAGCTCCAACAGGGCAGCATGGATAAAAATTCACAGATGAAATTCTTGTTCAATGGAGGGGATGGAGYGTTGTCCTCCTATGCTAAAAATCAACCTCTCATTTCCCCACCACTAAATCAGTCCTCCCCMTTTCCCACTAATAATTTTCAAGCAATGGAAGATTTGGTGAAAAAAGTAACAGAGAAAGTAGCAAAAGTGGAGCAAAAGGTTAAGCAGCTGTCTCCAAAGAGGGAGAACCAACTGTCCCCATGTAGTAGTGACACTGGAGAATCGCACAGGCAAAGAGAGGCCGACTCACCTCAGGAGTGGAGGGAAGTTACTCCAGCCAATAGTGACAAGGGAAGCCATAGTGAAAGGGCGTCCCCAGCAACAGAACCCAAGAGAGACACAGCAGTCAGCTCTCCTCTTGCCTCTACACTGAGGTGCAGCACTGCCATTATCACTGGTCATACGCCTCCCGAGCAGCCCTTTGTCAACCCACTAAGTGCTCTTCAGTCAGTAATGAACATTCATTTGGGGAAAGCAGCCAAACCCTCTTTGCCAAATCAAGACCCCCTTAGCCTGCTTTCTAGGCTCAGCCAAAGCATGACCGAAAAGGCTGCTGTGGCTGCCTCTCCATTACAAACCAAAAAGCCAGAGAGTGTAGTTGATAATAGTTTTTGCCAGTTCAGTGATGACCAGCCTATTGACCTCACAAAAAGCAAAAATGAAAAAGGAGGCTCTTTGGGCTCAGCCCCGCTGACACCCTCATCCACAGCCTCCTCAATTTCCCCTATCTCTCTGGTGACTCCTGCAAAGCTGACAGTGGTCTCTCCCTATACATCCAGCAGCCCTCTACATGAAAATGCGTTGTCTGATATATCAGATATGCTTCGAAACCTGACGCAATCCCACCCTGTAACAAAGCCTCCTTCGCGACCCCGGGTTGCAGAAAAAACGGAAGTTGTAGGATCTACAGTCGAGGAGGAGGATGCATCCTTGCATGGGCACAAACGCAAAGGCCGCCACTCCAACTGGAACCCACAGCACCTTCTTCTTTTGCAAGCCCAGTTTGCCTCTAGCCTCAGGCAGACATCAGAGGGGAAGTATATCATTAATGATCTGAGCCCACAGGAAAGAATGCACATATCTCGTTTCACCGGTCTCTCCATGACCACCATCAGCCACTGGTTGGCCAATGTCAAGTACCAGCTACGAAGAACAGGCAGAACTAAGTTCCTCAAGAACCTAGACTCTGGTCAGCCTAGTTTCTTCTGTAGTGATTGTGCCTCACAGATCCGAACCCCATCAGCTTACGTGTGCCACCTGGAAGCTCACCTGGGTTTCAGAATAAGAGACTTGGCCAAGATGACCCCCAAACAGACTGGCAGAGACACAAACACTCTCACTGAGAAACTAGTGCCCCTGGAGTCTTTCCTTTCTCCACAATCCCCAGATGACTGCAGCAGTAATGGGACAGTGTACCGCTGCCAGCTCTGCGTCCGTAAGTTTGCCACTAAGCACGCCATCAAGCTTCACCTCAGCAAGAGCCATGGGAAGTCTCCAGAGGACCATCTGCTATACGTGTGTGAATTAGAGAAAAAATAAAATACTCAGCAGTAGGCATACTGGAAAACATGTAGAATGACTGTTGCTCACAACAGAATCTTTAACGTGTGGTAATATACCACGAACTACTGTTACAAAATGTCAGCACAAGGTGTTTACATCTGTTAGGCCTAAAAACATTTCTGATTTTTCTGTATTTCAAAAGACGATATTTCACACAGAAATATACTGTAACTCAAAAAAAATTCAGCTTCCTCTGTCTGTGTTCATTTTCAAAATGTTAGACAACAACAGTGTATTTTTTGGCTAGAAGGTCAGCATTAACTTGAAATTTATTGAATTTATTGTATTTATTTTAAATTTTGAAAGTTTGGATTTATTTTGCTGGTAGACTGCATGTTTTACTGTTGCATCTGTACAGTCCTGTCTTGTCAAGATTAGAAAACGCCCTTTCGAACAAGTCATCTTTCAACACTTAAAAGCAGCCAAATTCCTGAGAGAGCCCTTAAAAGAATCTGCCAAACAGCAGAAGTTCATTATGATGGTTTTTTTTATTATTGTTTATCATATTTCTTGCTGATTGTAAAATCTGCCTTATTCATTATCATTGAATAGGGGGCACTTAAAATCCAGGTCTGTGTAAAAATGTACATATATTGTGTAAGCTTACAATTTGCTGTTTAAATTATGCATAATGTTATATTTCCTAATTTAAGAGGACTATGACTATCCACTGGTGCAGAGCCTTTGAAGAAGATTAAAAAGGACACTGTTTTGCACAATAGTTTTATAAATGTTATTTGATATAAAAAAAAACACACAATACAGATATGTTGATGCCTTGTGCTTCTATCATTAAATTGAATTAACTGCAGCAAAAAATATATTGTCGTCTTTCATGTTTAGCAATTAAATGTGCTTGTACTTTAAAAGTTATTTTTGAATCAGCTATTTCGAAGTGGGTATATCAGAACGGGAACAGACACCTGGTCACTGCAATATCATGTATTTTATGATAAATTTTACCTCCTAGCAGTGTTGTCCCACAATGTTATGACCAAGCACTTTCAGACTGGCTGACAGTTTTCCACTGAGCTACATCTGCAGAAACACCAAGCAAAGCTCAAAAACATCAATAGTCCAGTCATTTTGAAGCGATGCTTTTAATAGTAAGCATCATCAGACATGACTTCAGTCAAATATAACAGAGTATGGAGAAAGTAGCACAAGTTTTTATCCAAAAAAGTTATTTTCAGGCTTTTAAAGGGGCAATTTTATGTGTTTTCTCAGACATACATTTAAATACTATATCAAAATGAAGTATCTATGTCACCTTTAGTTGTTATTAAATGCTGTTTTTATGTTCAAATAGAAAATAAACTTATCTTCTCATCACTTCCTATTCTTAAYGCCTTGAAATTGGCCTCTGTCTCTTTAAAAACCACCTTCCGCTTCTGTCYCACCCATTTTGGTGCGGGGGGTCGCGCACACGCTATGATGCAGTTTACTTGGCATCTGAAAATACATTTCCTCAAAGGTATTTTGAATCTGAAAAGAGCTTCACTGTGTGAGAAGTAGCCTAGTGTTAGGAGCTCAGCAGACAGTTTCACTTTCAGTTTCACCTATTGTTTGCTGTGTTACTGTCGAGAGCCAGCAGGAGTCATGAGAGSGGGGGCTATGWGGAAGCTCATCTTAAAGACACGTCCCAGAGGCATTTCTGGTCCCCACCTGTCATTTTGCTCCTCTGCATAGCTGCCCAAAAATGCTGCAGGATTTCTCATACATGCATGAATGAGTCAAAGCAAGGCTTTGGACAAGTTTTTATGAGAGYATAACATTATAACATGATRTAAAACTCAAAAAAGTTTATTTTACATGATRTTGCCCCTTTAAAACAACACTTTTTCAAAAACACAWGAGAAATAGACTTTATGACTGATAAGGTACAAACTATTAGAACGTAACTTCAAAGTGGTTTGGACTATCCCTTTAACACTCACAAAGCCACAAGTTTTCAAATGTTCTTAGCTCTCCCTGTGACGTCGTGGTGTAGGCTGGGTGAAGGGTGGGGTGTTCTGGAAGTACAAGTGGTGCCACTGCCTGCAAGGCGTCTGGCAGGTGGTGTGCGCTGCATGTAAACCACCAGATGTTTCTGAAACGAGCCACTGGAGGAGGAAAAGGAGGCAGGCGGGCTCCAACAGCAGGCAGAGTGGGCTGATTACCACTGGGGCTTGGAAGCCATCAGGAGCCCTGGGCACAGACAGCAGATCTGGCACACACCTGGATGCCAAGACTGTCCCTTGGAAAAAATAAAGTGGATCCTATATATGCGTGCTGAGACAAGCTGACAGTGGTGCAGAATGCACTGACAGGTGCTATTCCCTCAATGCAAGCTTTTGGGTCTAACGATATTACTGGCAGGTGTTGACGCTATCAGAGTAGTCACAATTCAGGCTCAGTGCCATGTAACGAGGGGTTTTTAAAATGTTTTTCAGTATGCATATTGAAGATCATCACACACCTCTAGTCTTTAAATCTGCAGCCATCCACCTCTGTCCTGTTAGAAGACGCCTGGGGACACCGTGTTCTTTCTGTTTGATCTTCCCAGGCTTTGCTTGTCATGATTGACTGACCGAGTGACTCGRGGGCCGGGGCGAAGTTATCTGGTTCCTATGGTGACGGCCATTTGCCCACCCTCTAACCCTGCTCGCTCACTCACCAGAGGACAGCTCGAGTGCAGCACACCCATTTACTCTCTTAAATCTCATCATCTCGCTTCAGTTCCTCCCACCCGGGAACAGATTAATTAACACACACACACTGTGTCCTGACCCCGTCTTCTCACACAAACTCATTACCGCCTCAGACTCGCTCCCGGCCCTCCGACGTTTAGGATACATTGGTGAAACGTTGTGGGAGAACCCGGTGATGACTCACATCTGACAAGCAGAATAAAGCCTTAACAAAGGATGCTAATTGAAAGATGGGATTCAAGCCGGTAGCCATTGATAATGCAAATGAAAAAGGCTGAGCAGCTTTATTGAATATCAGTGCTCACAGAGTCCTTGTAGATAGAAAATTATCCTTTGGACTTGATCAATTTTTTTCAGCAGTCTATGTGTTGATAATGCTTTAGGCTCAGTGATGGACTTGGAGTGAGGATAGTTTGAGGCATTAATGAGATAGTTGACACTTTAGGGGTTAATGAGGGGCTGGAGGGAGAGGGCTAAATGATTGGACTTCTGCTTGAATGAGCATTATGGTGGCTGCTGGAGAGCCATGTAGAAGCTGCAAATCTCCTGYAGCTAATTATTTAGCTTGAAAAACACAAACCTCCTTTCAGTTGTATTTTCCAGGGATAATAAAGAGGATATTAGATTTGTTACCCATTGTTTTTTTTTGTCTTGACTATCCTTGAGGGGTTGGGTAGTTATAAAYGTCGATTCGCCTCAATGCTCCTAAAACAAAGTCGGCAGTGAAAGGGGATGAAAAGAGGYGGACAGGACAGGGATAGGATAGGAGGACAATGAGTCTCCACTCTTCCATTCCACACATCTCCCATCAGCTCTTGTCATCCCTCTAATGAATATCAGTTAAATTGCTCTGTGGATCTGAGGAGTTTGGATGTCAATGTGATTTGTGTGACTGTGGCGGATGGAGGGGCCCAGACTAATGAAAGGCGAGCCTAGCCTGACAGAGTGATGAGCATCAAGCCCATCAGACCAATCGCAGACGAGCGGATGACAGTGCCGACAGGAAAGACAACGCAGGAGGAGAGACGATCTCTTTAGGAAAACAAAATGGCTGCCAAAATATAGCGGAGCATTTCTGAAGAGAACTCTGACATGTTTCCTTTCTGTCTTGGTGCATTTGTGTGAGCTGTTACACACAAATGTGTTTTTCTAAATTTTAATTTAAATTTGGTCAAATTTACAAAAACCATTCTTCAACTTTTAATGTGAGATATGTTGTTAAGATATCAACAGGTTGAGAAAATAAAATGACTTAAAGCTATTAAACAGAAACAATACATTATGTTGTTAAATTGCAAGTCTGGCTTGCCATGATTTTTACAAAAAGGAGGCTTTTGTRCTTCTTTAAATTATGACATGCATTAAAGATAGTAAAGCAGTTTTWAACTCACATCTGCTGACAGCAGTGCAGATGTTGTGGACAAAGCCAAGTTGGTTTCACTTCAATTCTTTATATTTTCTTTGAGCCTAAAGAAAAAAACCACACATTTATGCAAGTGTAAAAAATCATCAAAGTTTTGGAAGTGTAAAACGTAAGAAAGGACACCAAGAGAAAGACAGTACAATTTTGGGGGCTCTGATCCCTCTCTGGGTGCMTGATTTCATGCTGCTGTGTTGCAGTGCTCCACGCTGCCTGAGCTAGCTGTCAGAGGTATTTTGGTGTTATATCTGACAGATTTGCTAAAGACACTTGTCTCAGGGCAGTACTCTATATATCGTTAGTTTAATGCACAATGACATGACCAATTATGGCGAGCTCCATGCTCAAATAGCATGTCAAAACCTGTGTATCAATCCATTAGATCCTGTCTCCCATCACATTAAGTGGTACCTTTAGCTATCTGTTCGGCGCGTAAAGAAAAATGCTGACGGAATGGAAAATGTGCCAGTGCTGTTTACAGAACTGATGTCTTTTGGAAAAGGAGCCCTCCTCTCTCTCTTTCTCTCTCTCTCTCTCTGTCTCTCTCTCTCTCTCTCTTGCTACTTCTTTGTCTTTCCATCTCTCTTTCACTCACTTGCACAAGCAAGCCACGGAGCGCAAAAAAAAGGCATAAACAATATATCTAGATAATGGGCTGCATTGTTTACTTAGCTCAGAAAATGTATTTGTGCAAAACTCTAAAATGCATTTAGGAGGAATCATTCACTCTGTGTAAAGCCTTGTTGACACCGGGGCGCTTTCAAAAGCAGAAGAAGTGTCATAACAACATCATACATCATTGCATCAATTGGAATAAGAGGATGAGTATTACTTGTAACAAACCAGTGGATTCTTCCAGTTGTTGCTGTGCATCCGCCAGTGTTTCTGCATCAACCTGCTTAGTCGGCCAGGACAGTAGGTGGGAGGAGGTTTGTGATTTAGTGCAGTTGGTCCTAATGACCTCTCTGTCCTTGTGACAGGGACACACAGCCTCGGGGCTCTGGCACAGAGGATGAGCCATAGGACCGCCTGGCACCTCGCCTGGCACCACGCGTGGCAACACGTCCACAGTCTGCCACCCTTCTGATGGATTGGCCTGTCTCCTGTGCCACCTTCATAAAATCACTTTTTGATTTGTTGTCATGTTTTTTTCTTCTTTTTTTCCCTTCAACTTGGGTTTTTCATGGGTAAGAATACCCTCTGGTCAGGTATTGCAAAAGTGATTAAATTAACCTTCAATAAATCAGCATAATAGAGCATTACCTGCGAGTGTGCGTGCCTGCTCGCCTGATGATATGAAAGTGTGTGATTAGGAGGTCAACATCAAATGTCCATCTGCAACTTCTGCATGAAACACAGTTGCCCCGTGGCTGAAACTGCTCTTTCCAATGTGCCATTTCACAGGAAACACATCAATAAGGCGCGATTACAAGGCTGACAAAATTAATCTCGTCTGTCATTTCACAGAGCTCAGGTTTGAGTGCTATGATCAAGTTCAATTAGTTGGAAGCTACTGGAGGATTTCAGGTTGAATTAAAATTTATTTGGAGTCCATCTTGTTTGGCTAAGTTGTGTTTTCATCAAGGAGCATTTGTTACCAAAGACAAATTACTTACAGAAAGCATGTATGGAATGTATGGAAAGTGGTTTGCCACCAACACTATGGTGGAGATGGTGCACTGCTGACCTCAACTCGGGACGTTGTGGGTCGGTGGGCGAAATACTTTGAAGACCTCCTCAATCCTACTGATACATCTTCCCATGAGGAAGCAGAGTCTGAGGACCCTGGGTCGGACTCTCCAATCTCTGGTGCCGAGGTCACTGAGGTGGTTAAAAAGCTCCTCGGTGGCAGGGCCCCGGGGRTGGATGAGATTCATGAAGAGTTCCTTAAGGCTCTGGGTGTTGTGGGGTTGACGTGACTCTACAATATTGCGTGGACATCGGGGGCAGTTCCACTGGATTGGCAGACCGGGGTGATGGTCCCTCTATTTAAAAAGGGGGACCACAGAGTGTGTTCCAACCATAGGGGGATCACACTTCTGAGCCTCCCTGGTAAGGTCTATTTGGGGGTTCTGGAGAGGAGGGTCCGTCGGATAGTCGAATCTCAGATTCAGGAAGAGCAGTGTGGTTTTTGTCTTGGTCGTGGAACGGTGGACCAGCTCTACACCCTCAGCAGGTTCCTGAGGGGTGCATGGGAGTTCGCCCAACCAGTCTACATGTGTTTTGTGGACTTGGAGAAGGCATTCGACCGTGTCCCGCGGGGACTCCTGTGGGGGGTACTCCGGGAGTATGGGGTACCAGGCCCATTGATACAGGCTGTTAGGTCCCTGTATGACCACACTTGGTCCGCATTGCCGGTAGTAAGTCGGACTTGTTTCTGGTGAGAGTTGGACTCCGCCAAGGCTGCCCTTTGTCACTGATTCTGTTAATGACTTTTATGGACAGAATTTCTATGTGCAGCCGAGGTGTTGAGGGGATCTGTTTTGGTGGCCTTARGATCGCATCTCTGCTTTTTGCAGATGATGTGGTCCTATTGGCTTCATCAGATCCTGATCTCCAGCTCTCACTGGAGAGGTTCGCAGCCAAGTGTGAAGCGGCCAGGATGAGGATCAGTGCCTCCAAATCTGAGACCATGGTCTTGAGCCGGAAACCGGTAGCATGCCACCTCCGGGTCGGGGAGGAGGTCCTGCCCCAAGTGGAGGAGTTTAAGTATCTTGGGGTCTTGTCCACGAAGGAGGAAAGAATGGAGGGGGAGATCGACAGGTGGATTGGTGCTTCATCTGCAGTGATGCAGGCGCTGTACCGGTCTGTCATGGTGAAGCGAGAGCTGAGCCAGAAGGCAAAGCTCTTGGTTTACCGGTCGGTCTACGTTGCTACCCTCGTCTATGGTCACGAGCTTTGGGTAGTGACCGAAAGAACGAGATCACGGATACAAGCGGCTGAAATGAGTTTCTTTCGCAACGTGTCTGGGCTCTCCCTTAGAGGTAGAGTGAGAAGCTCGGTCATCCGGGAGGGACTCAGAGTAGAGCCGCTGCTCCTCCACG